TCCCATCTGCGTGGCATTGATTTAGTAGTTTCGACATGGAATGGCTTCACATTTGAAGTGGTCTCCTCAACAGGGCCTACTGTTGGATTAGATGAAGCAGTGCAAACTTCCTCATTTGGTTGTTCTTGGTTTTCTGACTGTTCCTTGTTTTTCTTTTTCTTCTTCTTCTTTTTCTTCTTCTTTTTGGATTCAGGTAAGACTGTAGAGTCCTCAGAGTCCATGCTTGGCTTGCTGAGATGATCTTTCAGTTGCTTAAGCACTTCTTTCAGCTTCTCATTTGCTTTCATTTCTGCAGACATCAGTATGTCCTCAGGCACTGAAGTTATCCCCACTGATGCAAAGATGTTGGTTGCATGTTTAACTGAAAGTAAGTTTGCGAATGTGGCGTATGTGAGAACTCTTATGTCAGAGTGGTATCGGTTCTCTACAAAAGGAGCGATTGTCTTGCATATCTTCTCAACAAAGTTCTGATCCCAGCTATTTGTGCCTTTTGTCTTCTGTGTTATCACATATAGTGTGAGCAAAACATTTAGCCATCTATCAGGTCTCTCTTTTGAGCTAAGCTGGTTCAGTAGTTGGGAAATTATATCCAAAGATTGCTCATTTGGTATATCTTCAAGAGTGCAAAAAACTGCATGTAAAGTGTGAATTGACATGTCAACATAGTCCTGGGGAATGTTTGGAAAGCGACTGACGGCACCTGCAATGTAGGTGTCAAGATTTCCAGTGTCCTTCAGCCATTTGATACTTAGCTGCTTGTATTTTTCTACATGTTGCCCATTTGCAGTAAAAAGTCTTTCAATCATTGTCAGATGGGTCTGAGGATCCTCCGACAGCATGTGACTTTCGAACGTTTTGAACACTTCTTCAGGAGTTTTTTCTTTCACAGCAATTTCCATATCTAGGAAATATCTGATTTTGGAGCACAATTTATCTCCCCTCAATGCAAGGTCATGAATCCTCTTAGATATATTTTCATTGAGACATTTATGTTCAGCCCCAAGTAACAACATTACCGCTGCACCAGCTGAAAGGAGAACTCTGAAGACATCGTCCCTGTCACTGATGGCAGCAGCTTGCACTGGTGTGACTGTGAATTTGGGACTCTGTCCATTTGGATTAGCTTTTTCTTTAAGCAGTTCCTCTGCAAAAATAACTGGTGCTTTGGATCGTGATACATAATGCAGAGGTGTAAAGCCTTTAGGGGAAGCCTTGTTTGGGTCAGCACCCCGATGCAAAAGGAATGTCAAAATATCTGCATTGTGATTTACAACAGCAGCTATCAGTGGAGTTATATGGTCATCAACTTCTTTGCATGGGTAAAGTTCATTAATGTTGGTTTCCTTTACTAATTTTTGTAGCCTCTTGAGGTTGTTGTTAATAATACTCTTTATTATAAGATGTGTTTCGGTTGGGGGGGGTGGCACTTTCAGCTGTGTAATGATATGCATTTCCATGTCAAGGTATCTGTGACAAAAAAGACAAAACTATGATGTTACTGTTCCAACATTTGGTGCCACTTTAAATTGTTGACAAGCATTACTTTTAAAATGTTAGCGTGTGATTATAGAATGCTTTCAAAACCATATTCCGTTTACCAAGACTACATTTAGGGAGATACAGATCCTTTAACCTGAGGGAACTCAGTCAGAAGCCGTCTATATGACTACATACAGCACTGTACAAATACAGACAACATAACACCTGAGAGGAGTGAGTGCCACGCCTTGTGCCTCACTAACCATTCTAGACTTTGAACTTCCTCCTTCAGGCTGGAAACCAGAATTCAACTTTAAATGACCATTTCTGTGAACATCCTTTTATATCTTTGGGTCATAGGAACAAAGATGACATATCGTGTTACAAAATAAGCATTCATTATAAATTACATCAAATAACCATAAGAATGGATCATGAACAGGAGAAGGGCAACACGAGTGCTCGTCTTATGAGACCTCACTGATTATTATAAAGTACAATTTTAAAGCTAAAACAGTATTAGAGGATTGAAAATAAATTAACTTACGATGTCAACGTGGGGTGTCTGCAGCAGTACGAGTTTTATCAAAACTTAACATGCTGTGCTTTTTCTGTCCTCTGGCACTCTTCCTCTCTGCCTCTCTCTGTCTGTAGGGACTTGCTGGACGAGATGGGTGAGATGGGCGGGGTTTCCAACAGTCTTTACCGCTCCCTCTATCAAAAGTACTTGGTCTCTTTAGAAAGATCCGACAGTATGAGGCAGGAACTAGAAACTAAAGTTATTTAAAGTAGGGTTTGCAGATTTACAATACAGAGGTTCACAAAGCATTTGCATTTGTTTTGCTATACTTTCATACTACCATTATCATAGAAAGCACAGCAGGAACTTTTATAATATATTTAAATAAATAAATGCACAAGAAATAGCACTTAAATCTTAAGAATCAAAGCAGAATCAGCTACTTCCAACCTGTCTACTTGTGGGAAGCGAATAATTTAGACACATTTGTTTTATCTTAAATCGATATCTTAAATGGCAGCCTGCATAGACAACACAGTGTATATCACCGGGAACCTAAACTTGTTTGGCCACTGCTGGAGTTGTTGAAGACAGAGAAACCTCTGTGAGTTATTTAACCAGCAACCGTATCATTGACAGAAAAACAGTTTTTAAGCTATTTAAACTAGGCTGTTGGTGTAAATAAGCCCTTCTGCCATCTTTCTAATGGATAACAGAAAGACAAACAGGTTCTTTCTGACAATGGCTCAACTTTCAGATTGTATAATTCTGCTAGGACTTTTTGCAGTAAGCTGTGCTACTTACACCGTCAAACTAGGCACATAAAATGGGTTTAGGGTTAGGATATGAAGCATTCTGAGTAAGAGGGTTATCAGCTGTACATGTTATGGATAACTGTGACTTATTGTTGAGTAAATAACAGTGTGTGTTTTAAACCTTGGTCCTCCCTGCAGAGATTTCTCCACTTTCTATGATTTTTTTTTTTTTTTTTAATGATATTGTCAACTGTAGATGTTTACAATATAGTAAGTTAGGAATTTCATGAAAACATATTTATTTACTTTTGTTTCAACATTGGATATTTTGTGTTTGTGGTGGATTCAATCGAATATTGAGAAAATGATTTATGTAAAAATGTTTGACACTTTTTTTTTACAGTTTCATGTGTAGGTACCTTAAAATTACAAAGAAATATCTTAAAGTCTTATAATAGTAATACACTTTTATATTACGAGGAGTTACATATTTAATTGCAGATAATAATTTTTATTTTACATACATCTGCATGTATTTTCTGAAAGTGCAAAAATACTGTAAATATGATATAGTAAATTTACTTTAAAAAAAAAATGAAATAAATGTTATTTGTTGTTGTCAAAATACTTAAAATAATGTTTTGGGTTGTTAATTTATAGTTCATCTGTCATTTTACGGGATTTTGCAAGTTATTTAAAAAAACATAATTACTATAAAAAAAATAATTATTTCCTGTAAAATTAGGATATTTTTTTACAGTGTATAGAATGTCTCAGTTCAAATCTTCCAGACGGTTTGAGAAGTAGGCTATGCTGCAGGACACACGCCGGTTAGAATAGTCTATTCTGCACATGTGCAATGCTGCACAATTCAAATGTTACAGTAATGGGTTGTGCTATTACAGATGATTTTGAGTACAGTGCTTTACTGTGAAATAATAGTTAAATAATGTCAAATCCAATTTTACTGTAGTTTTATAGATATTTTGTTGTGATATTACAGGGGCTTTTTATTACAATATTTCTCTGTAATATGATACTCTTAAATGCTGTGAAATCCTTGCAATGTTTACAATGTTGTTGTGATATTACAGAGGATTTTGATTGCAGTATTTTATTGTGAAATAATAGTTAAATGCTGTGAAATCCAAGGATACAGTCCTTTTTACATGTATTTGTTGGGATATTACAGGGGGCCTTGATTACAATATGTCACTGTAAAATAATACTGTTAAATGTAGTGAAATGCTGGTAAATGTTTACAGTGTAACACTGTAATGTAGATGTGCACATGTGATGTTAGTGCATAAAGCAATATTCTGTATTGTATGGTCTATCTGTAAGGAAGCTGCCATCTTAACCCCAAACTCTTGATTTGTTCATTTGTAACTCATTATTGCAGACTGACTGTTAAACTGTAGATTTATGATGTCACAGTCCTTTTATTTTTTACAGTGCTCATTTGCATTGTGGTTTAACTGTGAGCAGAGGCTTCCTATGAAAGCTCACATTCAATTACATTATAGTGGTTTGTAACATAATTTGGCTCATGAGAGCTTTTTCACTGAAAATCCAATAAACCAAAACAGTGAGGTTGCAGCCTTAGAGTGAAAACCAATGTGGATATAGTCACAGATACTGTACGTTAACAATTATTTTTTCAGAGTAAAGCATTTGTCACCATCTATTCCTTTTTGGAACCACAAGAGACAAGAGCTAATACACCTGAACGTGGAAAATACATTTTAGGCGGGAAACATTTTACCATTAACTAAAAACACACTGTGAAAGGGTTAAGGTTCGAAAACCAAAACACTGGCCACACCAAAAGCCAACAACACTGTTGTAGCAACCTGTCAATCACACGTTTGCTCCGCCCATAAGCATACGCTGCTTTATCCTCTATTTTACTCATAAAGAGATCATCATTTTTTAAATACACATCATGCTGTATTGAAAGATACTTGGAACTAGAGATCGATACCATGCACTTGTCAGAAAAATGTAAGGTCAGAAAAGTGACATTTAGGGTAATTTTCTTATAGTCTTTGATAAAATCTGACTTTTTTTTGCAAATGCAGGTTTTAAATCACTTTTAAACCCAGAAGTTGCAGCCTATCAAAACAAAGCTAAAAGACACTAAATGAGAGCAACTGCAGTCATTGGATAATTTACTCTGGGTTTGACATAACGACTGAGTCCTTTCATCCTGATGATCAATGAATGATAACACACACCTTCCAATCTTATTTTTTACACATTTATTTTGATACCCAACTGATTATATTTACAGTATACTTTGAGTAACATTCAATATGCTTAAAACAAAATCATACAAAATAACCCGCATGTTATAAAGCTTGCATATTCCAGTATGCTTTTTTAAAATTACAATACCATTCTCTTAATGAGAAGAAGCACTTGTAGACTTCTGAGTTTGTTAGGTTTATTTCAAAATAATTGAGCAAACACCCTTTTTTGAATGTCATGCGCTTGCAAGTTGCAGTAATGTTTTTTTATTAGTTTTTTTTAAAAGTAAGTGCAAAGTTCTGTTCAGTTTTTGTGTGACAAACAGGTAGTGGCATTGCAGTCCATGTTGTATGTACATGTTGTAGCTTGTAAGTTAACATTCAGTATTAGTAAGAAGAGAATGACAGACGGAAAAAGCCTCTCAACTAGAGTGAACATATTTACATTAACACATTGTTTCCTTCATTTGTAGACAAACAAATGATGTCTTTTTATTTTGTTCATAAATGTGAGCTATCACTTCTTCAGTGAGGAGCCTTTTAAAGTTTTAGTTGACAAAGAAAAAGTTAAATGATGTCAGTAGTACAACAACTCGGGTTGCTTTTTTTATTTGTATGTAGATTTGTTCCCTGAAACACTTAAAGAGCTTCTATCAGTTTCTACTATAGTTAATCTGGTCTAAAAGTTGATTCCATTCACATGTTAGTCTAAAAAGGCATTAGCTATATCCAGTCCTGAATATTTCTCCACCTCACAAACCACTGGTTCCTTATTTACTGTACGCGATATAATCTATAGCACCTACAGTAATATTCGTCTCGTAACAACTACACTCTAAGGGCTGGGGTCTCACCTAGGATAATTAAAGGTTTGTGCTTTCAAGACATTCCCTGTTTGGAAAAAGCAAAGGGGTGTGATACTTCATCACGGCCAGAGGGAGGCACTGTGGGCCAATCAGGACACAGAACCCCAGAGCTGATAAGGCAACAATCACCACATGAGGGCATGAGGTAAGTGGCACACGAGGAGCAACCACACCTGTTACATGCCCTTAATGAGAACATAAGAAAATAATATGATACTTCTCTTAGGTCTTGTTGTATATTAGTTAGGGTATAAAACCATTAGGATAGGGGATATTAAACTGAAAATAGATCCAAATCATATGAAAGTATTCCACCTTCAGGAATGTGAGCTGGATTTTTAGGAGAATACCAGCCTCCTTTTACACTTGTCCACCTCTTGACTCCCCCTCTCAGTCTCTGAAGTCTGAAAGACCATGGAAACAGATATTTGGACAAGGCCATCAAGCTTGAAAACTATAAGAATTCTAAACACATCTTTACCCAGCTTTTACTTGGGACGGAAACAAATGAAGGGATTGAAATTGAAAAAGTGTGTTTTAGTCCTTTTTTCCCCCCTCCACCAATCTTTCGGGGGCCATGACAAGGCCCCTCACAAGCTCAAGTCAATCATGATGTGCTCAAAGATCTGCGTGTTTCCCTTGAAGCTGGAGGTGAAGATGAAGTCCCTGCGGTCGGTGGAAACCACAGTGAAGGAGCGCGGTGCCTGGATGTACACGTCCTTGAAGCGGTCAAATAGTTTGTTCTCATCATCCCACATGTAGATCTGCGAGAAGGTGTAATCGCTTCCCAGAGCCATGTAGTAACGCTCTTTGAAAAAAAAAGGCTGGACAATCATAGAGCCTCGTGAGGGCAAGGCCTGGATCTCTGTAAACTGTTTGGTACCCCAACGAAGGATTTTGGAGTCACCAATATAGCGCGTCATAGCCAGGTAGAGTTCCTCCTTGATCCGGAAGTGCTTCACAGCTACAACGTCCTCCATGTGAGGGATCTCTCCCTGCAGGACAAACTTCTGGTTGCTCCGGCTCCACTGGTAGATCACAGGCACCTGCGAGCGGCTCGCCAAGATAAGGTGCGCTTTCCCATCCAAGTCCAGGAACTCTGCGTCTGTGTCGCGGTACCACTCATGCAGCGACTGGTAGGAATAAAAGCCCTTATCGTTCCACTTGTAGAGGGTGGACAGGCCTGCTTTTGAACTGTCAGCAATCACAAAGAACCAGTCAGAGCCCACCTGGAACGCCTCAATGTCATTGGGCTTGGAGATCTTGGACACCTCGATGTCCTGAAACCTGCTGAAGCTGCTTTGGTCCTCATCAAACTTGTAGATGTGGGAGCCACCAAACAGCTGAGCCACGATGACAAACACCTGGTCCTGGATGACCACTGACTTGCACCCCACAATGGACTGACCTGAAAGGCGGATAAATTAAAAATAAATGGGCCAATACCAAATTGTAAAAGGTTGTTATTGAAAAACACTTTCAAATTTTCCCAGCTCACTACTGGCTGGACAGGTTTTCTGAAATGCTGCGTTTAAATATGCAAATTAGCCATTCTTTTTTATCAAATATGTGCTAATTTAATTGAAATACATTACTAGTACAGAAACTTGAATACAGTATAATGCCGGGTGGAAAATTCTCTATTTGTAAATTCAAACCTATCAGAGTTAAAGGTTTGTACAGAGGGACTTTAGGATATTTCTTTGTATCATTTCATAGATCAGTAAAAACTGTAAACAATGGGAATGAAACTGCTGTAAGTGCTACTGAATCTACAAACACAAAAACGCAGTAAGAAAAACTCTTAAATGTGTATTTTAGATCTGTTTTCCTTCTCAAAATTCAGAAAGAAGACAACATGGCCGACATGTTATGAAGCAAAATGGCCCAAACTCTCAAAATGTAACAACAGCATCCACAGTTAAAAAAAAAAAGTTTGCCGTACCTGTGATGTTATCATAAGTCCTGAGGTTCATTTCTATGTGGTCCCACTGGAAAACCATACAGCTCTCTGCGCTGGGAGCAGCTATCGTCACATAATATATATATCTATATATTCTTCTCTTTATTTCCAAAACAGAATAATTCTGATGTGTTAACACCCAGTAAAGCAAACAAAAGAGGATAAATATGGAGACATGTCTACCAGAGATGGGGTCGTTACTAAAAAAAAGTAATATATTACATATTACATATTACTTTAAAAAAAAGTAATATATTACACTACTTCGTTACTCTCTACATAAAGTAACTCGTTACTTTACTCGTTACTTTACTCGCAGGGCCGGCCAGCCCCTCCCTGCAGGCAGATCACGCAGACTGCTAAAGTTTCAAATGTTCTCTTTAGTTCAGTTTCCATTGTCGCATAGTATATCTCTGAACGATGCAATGGTGATTCCACTGTGCAAATGGGCAACATTACCTCTACTATGAAGGATGCTACAAGCCTGTCCATCTCTGCTTTGGTTACCGGTCCTCCAAATTCTAATTTGTGCTGCTTCGGAGTCGCACTCACAACATCCTCACTCTGGGTTCGGGGGTCCTTAGCTATTAGCTTCACCTTACCATGTGTTCTTTGCAGGTGTTTGTTGAGGTTTGACGTGGTGTTTACAGCAGTGGATAACAGCTTCTGGCCTGGACACAGTTTGCACCTCACCGTCTGTTGGAGCAGAACACCTATTGTGGTGGCTGATAGCCACCCCCTCTGCTACGCGCCGTTCGTTGAATGAGGCTGATCTCTATTAAATAAAGAAAGGAATTGAAAACACCGGAATCAAAAGTTATAACAATTATCTGAGTTTACTCTGGTAGGAAACAAAACACGTATACTTAGTTATACAGAGTACTCCGGACTTCAGGCTTGTGATGCTGTTTACAGGTAGACAGACCATGCCTTCAAGAAACGAGAAGTACAGACTTCAGGTTTGGGATGCGGTTTACACGTCTCTAGACCAGCCTTCAGCAAACCAGAAGTATTTTTACATACAAAAACAACAGTATTCATATCCATATTTTGGGGCGGAGATGTGTCGACTCTTCCTTCCCATTTGACTCCGAAGCAAATCAGAGAGTCCGTGGGGAGGAGCTGTGTGAGCTGCTCACTCCCCCAGGTTTCCTTACTGGTTGGATCCACCTCTGGCCGGGTTCAATACAGCGAATCAGAGTTCTGACCAGAACGTGAGATTCTAAGGTTCTACAAGGTCAAAATCAATCTTATCTCTGCACCGGTATTCACTCCCTTATTTTCCCATGGCATCTTTCACATAAACTGTTACTCTCAGACAATTAAACATTGTATACAGATATAATGAGCCCAGAAAGAACATACTGAACCTTGAAAAGAACATGTGTGTGCGCTCTGGTGAAAAGGAGCTGTGTGTGTGTGAAACAGGATCTCTGTGTCAGTGAGTTGTAAGTGAGAAGACATTATATATGTGATTACTTAAAACAGTTCAAACAATACATGTTTACTTCAATACAGTTTAGAATCATATCTTTTTACTTCACGTCACATTCCTGTTTATTCTTCGGACGAACTCAAAATAATGGGCATACCTCCACCCCTCGAAAGTTATCGCTGACTCTGCCATGTTTATGCAGCACTGCACGTGGAGATGTGGACGCGCAAGTCGCGCAGATTACGTACATATAAACCTGCGGCGGAAACCCCTCTTGTCTGTCAGTGTGATTATGACTGATTTTATAAAAGTAACGAAGTAACGCGTGTCGGGGCAATGTTAGTAACTGTAGTGTGATTACTGAATTATAAAAGTAACGCGTTACACTACTCTTTTACCGACAAAAGTATTATTATTATTACTTTGTAACGCGTTACACCCAACTCTGATGTCTACACAGGAAGCAGTTACTTAGAGTGAAAGCAAGTGTCTGGGAATCTGCAGCTTGTAGAAAACACATGGCCTCTCTAGAACTGGAGATCTGGGAAAGTAGTTCCCAAAGATCTTGTGTCCCACTCACCTGTTCTCCATGCAGAGGGCATCCACATCAATGATGCGTGCCTCACGGTTGCCCAGGACGTGGTTGAGCTCCACGTTGAGGCGGTAGGTCTTCTCCCTGAACACGCCGCGCTCCGCCTTCACGTCCTGCAGCTCGTCGGTCAGAGCCTTCATGTTGTGCTCCATCTCCTCCATCTAGAAAAAGACAACCAGAAAGACGTTAGAGTTTGCTGAGCGGGCATAGGAAGTTGTTTGCAGTGTAGGAGCTCCCACCTGTAAAACCTTGGATACTGTATTCAGCTGAGTGAGAGGCTCTACTGGAGCACATACAGGTGAATTGCTTTTAAGAACACCTCAAAAGCAGGTTTTAAGGAGGGAACAGAATCTTTTCATCAACCTAATGAAATCCAATTCAACACCACCAAATGATAAGCCTCCTGAAAGGCAGTATTTACTACACTGTGTGGATGTATCGTAAGGGAGTGATGATAGTAATGGGGTGAGAGTCAGGCATGTACAACAGCTTATTATGTTAATTGTTGGCAAAAAAAAATTCAAACGATTACGGACGGAGCCTTGATAGCAGGGGCAGTTCTAGGGGGGGGCAACAGGGGCCAGTGCCCCCGTAACACTGACCAGGGACCCCCCTGTGGCCCCTGGTAATTACACAATTACTTTATACTGTCTTTAAATTTGGTTTAGAACTGCCACTGCTTGATAGGGGTGAATATTCCTAGAAAACTCCATTATTAAAGTAATATTTATTACTAGAGTCTTGATGCGAGACCATCTAAAATAAGAAGCTTTTCTGGGTTCAGTATGTCGATCTTTTGTGTAGAAAGTAAGAACATTCATCAACCTGGAGCCCTGCTCTCTCCAGCTGGGGAACAAGGTCCTCACGTTCATGGGGGGGGGAAATGTCGCGGCCCCACCTCCTCATCGCCGAGCCTCTGTCGAGTTATGGTCATCCTTAGCAGCTGTGGAAAAACAAGTTAAATTCACTGCTTCCCTCAAACACATCTACTCATGCACTGGATGTGTGTGTGTTTGGGCGGGGGGGGGGGGGGGGGGGTTACATGTGCTGCAGGTCACCTCACCTTGTTGTCCCCCTGGGCCTCCGTCAGCCTCTGCGCCAGCTCCTTCACCTCCTCCGTCAGCTTTTTGGCTCGTTCCCTGGAGTCTCTCAGCAGCTGAGCCAGGTTCACCTGAGGAGAAGGTGGAGGAGAATCGTGAAAACAGCTGGTGATTGGCCACGTGGATCGTCATGGAGATTAGGGCTGCATGATTTGGAAATATTACTAATTGCGATTATTTGGCTGATATTGCAATAACAATATAATTCATGATATGAGAGGGTTTGATCATTATTCTCATTGAAAAATATATTTAAAATGGTAATCGTGTTCATTTTGTATTACATTGTATTAACTATTCTATACTTCATTTAGAATTATATTAAAAGAAGAGGTGTCTTGCTTTTCCGGTTATTACCCGTCCCCTTGTGTGTTATGAAGGTTTTTATGCATGTAAATGGTCTGCAGAGTCAAAAACCCTCAAAGTACACCCTGTAGGGAGTAAAACTCTAACACAGAAAAGACCTCCCCAAAACGCCTCGTTGGAGATTTCTCATGTTCTTCCTGGACATTGTGACGTGTGAACACCCAGTAGCCACACCCAGAGCTATACGGTCATGCGGTACCCGGAACGAAATGGACCAATCCGTGGAGCCGTTACGTTACATCACGTCCGCTGAGCCGTTACGTTAAGCCCCCGCTGATTGGTCCAAATTGACCAATCCACGGACTTCCACACACACACACACACACACTCTCTGCTGATTTCTCCTCCCTGGCTGCAGGCTGATAACAGACAGTTGGGATCGCGGCGAATTTCTCTCTGCAGACCCATTCTCACAGCGTTTATCAACCTTTTTCTTACTCAATATCAAGCCACACTTATTGTTTTTACTTCGGCTGTGAGTTTGTGTGTGCTCAGGATGAGTTTGGCTGTGTTTCGCTATGTATGCTAAACAAGGAAACAACACCTCCACGGAGCTCTGCGCGATTCACAACGTCCCGACCAATCAGAGCACACTGTGCTCACAGGGAGGGTGGGGGCTGGAGCTATTGGAGCTACAACGAGCCGTTAAAGGCAGAGAGTGAAATTCAGTGAATACATGTAGTTTACAGAGATGCTGTATGAGAAACCAATGTGAGTTTGGAAAAATGCACAGTATAAATCTATTTTAGTATACCTCAACAATGGAATTATGATCAGTGGAAATGGCCATGACACCTCTCCTTTAACACTTATTTTGCGGCTGATTTCTAACCTATATTACACTTGTAGCTGACTAAACTCTGATTATACAATAATAAATAACTGTTAAACAAGATGTCTAGATATTGGCCACATCACATCTAGAAAGTAAATTCTGTAAACAAGTGAAGATTAAGAAAACAAACAAAATAAGACAATATAACTCTTAATAATCACATTTCCAGTGTCAACCACAAGTAGAATATTTATTTCTTTACTGTATATTTTAAATATATATACATATTAAAATAAGTATTATAATAACATTCATAAAATAAATCTAGATTATTAAAAAAGTATTATTTATTGTATTAATTTTCCCAAACATTTTCCTATGTTTGAAACCTTTGAGAGACTGAATCATAAAAGAGAACTAAGAACATATAAAGTCAGTGGATATTATTTTGACACTGAAAATGTACAATCTTAGCAAAACTTTAACAAAAATACAGTACTCATATAGCAGATATATAAGATATGCTTTAGTAAGAAATACTTTTGGCATCAGTGGCATACATGGAGTCCTTGATTTTAACCACAACTTACTTGATTGCATTTTTCTGGTGGCAAGAGGGGTCACCGTCCTAAAATATGAAAAGAGTTTAGTATTTAAACTGGAAGTCCACATGGAGAGTGCACGGGGACAGGGAAAAATGACGTGTGTGTAGAGAAAATACTGAGGACAGATCAACATGAGCACTCACGATGAGCTCCCTGTACTTCTTCTTCAGTCCCTGGTGGCGCTCCCTCAGCTGGTTGGCCATGAACTGGTACTGATCCCTCTCCTGCTGACAGGTGTCCAGCTCCTTAGACAGGATGAGCAGAGCCTCCTTCTTACTCTCCAGCTTCCGCTTACACACCAGGAACTACAAACACCGCACACACACCATCACAGAGCACAGGTTAGGGACTGTGACTCTCCAGATCATTGGTTTGATCACAGCTTTCGGGGCATTCTTGTGGCCGCTTTGCCCTTTAATTGCTGACACTGACACTTTTCGTGTTAATTCCAGGGGCCAAAGAGTACAACTGTATATAACATTTTCACATCAACTGTATCATCCAGCTTCTTGGCTTCAAAGTGTGCAACAGGGAAGGTAATGTTAGAAACACTTAACTGTGCCAATAATACCAACCCCAACCAGTGCCCTACAGGTGGAAAAACACACACTGAAGCCAAGTGCCTTACATGTAGATAACACACAGCAGAGGGAAACGAGCAAAGCTTCATATCCGTCAGTACAGCTCATAACCAAATTAAATAGCAGCTTGTAGTGTCTGCAGCTCAGCCATGATAACCACTCTTTCACAGATGCAACTAATGCAATTTAAATGAGGCAGTTATTTTTGCCACTTAATGGATGGTTTGTTTGGTGAGAAAAACATGTGAAAATAGTGACAAATTGTCAATTCTAAGTATTACAATAAAAATGAAACTATCTAACATTAATAAAGTCAAAGCAGACATTTTTCTTAAGTACATTTTCTTTATTATAGGATAGTGCTAATACGAATACTTCAACAGCAATGTGTTGTATTTTAGAAGTGCATTAAAGGCAGCAACAAACTAAGTAAACTTTAATCTCTCTTTATTTATCACAACTTTAATATAGTTATCACCATATTTAAAACATTTTAAACATTAGCCTAATATAAATGTCTATTTAATATATCCCCCTTTGGTCGAATAGTTCTAAATAGCATTAAAGATTAATTCGAGCAATGTAGAGATGCAGCAGCCCTACAGGTGTGTTGCATCAGGTCGTGTTAAGGATGTGGGCATGTGGCACTGCATTTCCAACCCGGAGGCCTGACAAAATAACATGTTCACCTCTTAAATCAACCAGTAGACAGCATATCATACAAAAAACGAATAAAAAGTGGGTTTATTTGTGATGTTGCACAGCTCCTCGGTCTATTCAAACAGTAAAGCTGTTCCATATGGACACCGGAGCTTCGGTAAAAGTAGTCCGCCTCTGCACAGCTGTTCCCGGTCTCACTCACCTCGCTCACCAGCCCCTGCCAGTCATTCTCGCTCCTCTTGGAAGACTGCATTATTTTCCGGGATACTTTGCAAAAAGATGTCAGGATACAGGCTGCCTGTCCGCCTCAGTCCGAGCCGCCACTCCCCCGTTTGTTTATCCGGATGCGGTGTCACAGTTTTTTGGCTCCGCTGTCAATTCGCGCGGAATGAGATGTGGGGAAAAAATATACGACTTCCGGTACAGTGATGAAAAATAAAAGTATTGTCAAAAGAATATGCGTTTTGAGCAAGAATTCTGATATGAATTCAACACTTTTCCATATGTGACACTATAAAATAAATGTTTCTGTAAAATAGCTAAACTGAAGCGCTCTTTTTAGAGGAATACAATGTAAATTGAAGGTTTCCTTCACAATAAAAGCACGAAGGCATCATATGGTGGAGTAACAGTAAATCAGACAGTTAAATGAAATACTAGATGGAATACAAACTATTAAATAAATACAACTATTGAGAAAATATGCTTTTTAAATCCTTTGACATTAATGAACTGAGCCTCCTTTAATATTCAAAGCACTTTGTATTATAGAACAAATATGTTTAAGAGCATTAAGGGAGAGATAATCCATGACTGATATACATAGCCTACCATTACCATAGAACATAATCACAAACATGATAAAACAACAATCAGATTTTTAACTCATTTATTTAGATACTCAAGTTTGCATGTACAGTTTAGGAGAAGAAGAAAGGATTCCTTGATCCCACCTCTGTGACAACTGTGGGATGATCAATTACATTCTGCATTTGACCAATACTAGTGTTAAGAGCAGTGGGCTGCCATATGTACGGCACCCGGGGAGCAGTGTGGGGAACAATGCCTTGCTCAGGGACACCTTGGTAGCACTTGGTCTTTCAGGGACTTGAACTGGTGACCTTCCGGTTCCCAAGCCACGTCCCTAGGGCCATCTGTTATTTTTCACACATCAATTGTAGACAAAAGATTCAATTCCACATAAATTACTTTGCTTAAATAATAATAATGATAATTCATTAAAAATATATATTAAAACGCTTTTCCATGTGCTCAAAGCGTTTTACGTTACATATTACACATATTAGACATGTAACAGTTATGAATTAAGGCTTGAATATCATCAGAGTAGTCTTGACACACAAAAGGAGCAATCGTCTTGCAAACCTCCTCAATATAGTTGGGATCCCAGTCTGTGGGACCTTTTGTTGTCCGTGTTATCATAACTAATTCTTCCAGAATGCCTTTATAGTCAGTTTGCTCATGTGAACAAAGCTGTCCCAGTAGTAGGGTGATTTTAGCCGAAGCTTGCTCCATTTGTAACTGTGAGATGATATTAACTTCTTTGCTTCACAGTATCTGTGGGAAGACAAAAACAGGTATCAAATTGTGAAACATGGAATCCCATCCAATGCAATGTTACACTTGGTCCTTAGCAAGCATATTTTATGTTCTTTGAATATTAAACATTAACTATTTATGTTTTAAAGGAGTAATAAAGATGAACTCGGTTGGTGGCAGATATAGTTCACGTTTTAGCTCATGACAGATTTTTCAATATTGGTGTATTCATATAATCAACAGGAATAGAAAAGTCTCAAGAGTTTAAAACTTGGGCAACTCTTGTAATAAAGACCAACTTATTCTTATCGACCAAAGTGCCTGGCTTGTGGTCTTCATTAGGGTTATTAAGAAACACATACAATGAACGTTTCAAGAAGAAATTAAGCAAATAATTACAAGGTTTAAAGACATCCAGTAAAAACCATACACATATTTGCCAATGGGGCAGCCACACGTAGATGTGGTTGGTATATGATCATGTGACTTCTTATTTCTATACTTATTAAAGTGAAGCCAAAGAGACTGTCAAGTATATACATTTTGTCAGGTAAAAGAGAATTTTTTTTAAATTTCTAATACAAAAAGTTAATAGGCAGAAACAAAGTTAGTCATGGTTTGATATCCCTGCCAGTATAACTGATTCAGGAATATATGATTAGGAATATCAAAAATGCTGATGATGATGTCTTCTTTGAGTCTTTAAAATAATTGATCTTTCCAAACTCAACCGCGCTTGATCTCTTTTGCCGTTTGAAATGAGGATGTTCTGAGCACAACAGTCCCTCCTCGATTTTATTTGTTCTCCTTCCTTTTCAGAAGCTTGTTTTTTGTTGCTAAAGGTACAATTCAAACCATTTAAGAATTAAAATGTGTACATAATGTGCCCTTTATAACATTTAACCTGTTGTGGAAACATGTCTTGATCAAATTGATATGAAACAAATGAGATAAATGTCGCTGTGACACTAATGTCACATCGGGACATTAACCTTAAACTTTCAGAGTCAATCTGGAGTGACACATATGTCACAATTAGAAATATGACTATGATCTGCTCAGTTAATTTAGCTGATTCAATGATATTTAGTTAATGTATTCTTAATTCTTCAATTCAAAGAATGTTCAAACTAATTTAAAACAAAAGATAATCCTCATTAATTAAGTTATAAATAAGAGTTACTTTACCATTAATGCCCAATGTGACATATGTCATTTTTCAGATCTTCGACACTAGGGGGGGGGGTTACTTGTCAGACATGTGTTCTATGTGGTCTATTTAGGCCACATTTACACGAGAACGAAACGGCTTGTATCTGCATAGTTTCTCTTGCGTATAGCCCTATTATTTACACGAGGCCGTAACAAACGGACCCCACAAACGATAACAGGTCCCAAGTCTAAATTATGTCCAGGTTCTTGTGGGTTAAACTGATTGATGTCAGAACATTCCATTTGTAATCCACGTTGACATTCCACCATAACATAATGTAGAGTAGAGCATGTCATTCTGGCAAAAAGGCAACCAACTGCATATTTCATATTGTTAAAACCCCAACAAGGTTTAAGTTGAATGGCAACCGTGTGTGTGATAAGAGGGTTGGTAGGTGTCGGGTTACAGGGAATTTGTACTTGTACTTTATGTTTAGAAATGTTCATGACGAAACAGGTTAGGTTTTAAACTCACTGCCACTTGTCGTATTTACTACATATTATGGGGGTGAAACTGAGCTGCAGGCTTAACATCATCGTATATGGTAAAAATGACACACACACTGGCTTAATTTGCGCAAAGGATTACATGTTGTTAGGTTAGAAATTCAGACGTCTGCATCGCACACGAAGCTATAAGCAGAATCTTACAGATAAGTTTATGGATAGTTTAACACCTGGAGACTTGGTTAAAGTTCATTCATGCACTCATCAGTAAAAAGGAGAATCTGAGAGGTCTGTTGTTAAAACTATATTTCACTGAGCCATATCCCAAATCACAAGGAAAATCATCAAATCAGATGTTATACATTTATTTTGATACTGAACAGATACATTTATTTTACAGTCAGTAAGATTAAAACAGAATCATACCAACACCAGTGGAGCATGTTGTTGAAGTTTAGACTTCTGAGGTTTTCTCTATAAACAAAGCTACAGTCTAGTTTGTGACCTACAAGTACTGGAACTGTCGTCCATTTTTATATACGTATATTTTGTAGCCTGTAAGTCAACATTCAGTATCCTCAAAAAACAGAATGAATGCTACTTCATTCCTCACCATCCTTCTGACAGGATGGACAAGAACATCTAAAAAATATAAAATCTCTCAAAACACTAACTGTCCCAAAGAAATCAACATAGGATGATATATTTCAGAGTTCATTACATCAACTCCCTCACTTTCTGCTCCCCCAACATATTATAGCAAATACATGGTAATACAAAAGAATAAAATATTCTAAAATCTAAATGTGAAAATAAAAATAAACTACTGTATAGTAAAAAATGTAAAATATAGAAGTGTGTCAGTTTCAGGTACTTTACTGGCAATATCGATGCATCAATAGCTAACACAAATTATTCATTTGAGATGCAGCTAATTCAGTGGTTTAACTTTTTCAATTTCCTAATGTTTGTATTTAACATATTCCTTGTGTATAATCATTTGTAAAGTAACTAGACTGAAGCCATACAAAAATAATGTTGCAAATACAGGTAATGTAGTTCATTATAATAATGTTTTAAAAAAGTGATTTAAAAAAAGAATTGGAGGAGAAAGTTCCCAAAATGTAACTACAGTACAGTATCTTATGATCTACATACTGTTACTATCAGCCTTTGGAAAATAGTTACTATGAACAATGCACATGCAAAGCCTTACAGGCGTATTCAGATTGGACACTATACAGTATCAGTTAAAAACTATTACATCAGAATTGCTTGTACTTTTATTATCTGACTCCTTAGAAGACTCTCAAGTACTTCTTCACTTCAAGTCCCTGGGTTGAGACTCTTGTACGGGGACAGACAGAGGCTCCTCAGGGCTTGTGGATGTAAAGCTGGTGCTGATGTTTTCTCTAAGGAACATTTCCTTCAACGGGGTCTCTGAATTCCACCCTTGGGTCTTGGCAAACTTGTAAACACATCCGAAGAGATCAGGATATATCTTCATCACATCAACTTGAGCTGCATCATCCTGACTGCAAACAAAAAAAGGAAAGATTTTACCTCTAAGTTATGAGATGAGAAGAGACATAATCTGTTTACATCAGTGCTTCTTGGTTGTTCTATCATAGTTGATCTACAATGCTTCACTTCTGTTAATTTGCTAGATGCCTAGAAGGGTTTTTATTATGCTGTTTACATTCGTCCGGGAAAGTGCAATGAAGAATGTTTGCCATACTACTGTATTTAACAAAACATTTAGCTAGCTAACTACCTTACATTCTTTTGAACTTCTAACGTTAGCTTTAGCCTACTGATAACACACGTTCCAATCTTATTTTTACACTTTTAGTTTGATACCCAACTGATAATATTTACAGTATATTTTGAGTTACATTCAATAGTGTGTGGCCAGGGTATCAGGTGAGAGAGCAGTAACTTGTAACGGACTGAAGTATGCCCACTTACAAATACATTAACAGTCTATAGTTGTAATGGTAGGTTTATATAAACAGTGAGAGTAAGAATATCAAAAAGAAAATCCAGAAATTGACATTATATAAAAGATACAAATGTATTTGCATTTAACTGTGGGAAATAAGTATTTGATCCCCTTGCAACAAACAAGGATTCTGGCTCCCACAGACCGGTTAAATAAGTCCTCTTCCTTTAAAAAAAGTACTCATATCAACTTGTTATCTGTATAAAAGACACCTGTCCACAGAATCAATCAATCAGAGTCCAACCTCTCCACGATGGGCAAGACCAAAGAGCTGTCTAAGGACCTCAGAGACATGATTGTAGACCTGCTCAAGGCTGGGATTTTTCTGAATTTTCTTTTTGATATTCTTACTCACTGTTTACATAAACTTACCATTACAATTACAGACTGTTAATTTATTTGTAAATGGGTAAACTTACAAAGTCTGCAGGGGATCAAATACTTATTTCCTCCACTGTATATACAATATCACTTCTCCAACATGACGCCTGTATACAAGATGGCGCCGCGGATGTAAAAAACAACGCAACGCCAGAGCTCCGTAAAAACACAGCTGTCTATTTCGTCTGACGGTCTATTTGACAAGACTTTCATATTTGTTTTGTAATTATACAGTTTTTTGACGTACAGAAATATTGTTCTCTGGCATCACTTTAACATTAGCATGCCGAAAATAGGGAGCAGCGACCCTGTTAACCGGTTTAGACAAAACCCTGAATAATGTGCTATCCTTGTTTGTTTGAATAATCATTTTTAATTTAGTGTGAGGTTACGTACTAGTGCTCCTGGAGATTTCGTATGCAGCGCAGTAATCCCAACATGTTTTCAGGGTACTTCTTCTTAGGATCCATCTTCTGCAGCAACTCTGGTGGAAACTGTGATGAAAAAATGTTGAGCTAGTTATCAGTGTACCTTTTAAAACGTGGTGGTAAGGATACATTTTTGGTTTCAAAAAGAGAATAAAACTTATGTTGCAGTCACCTTATCTTTCCACTGTTTGAAGGATCCATCACATTTCTCCAGCGAAGAAATCAATTCCTGGTCCGCATTTCGATGGTTCTTTACCTCCTCTCTGTTTCCCATCTTTCTCAAGTATTCAATTTTCCTGAAAAATTCAAATGTTTTTTAGACTATTTAGAAAAGATTTATACGATTTATAGAAAAGATAAATAATAACAGCAAATTAGTTTAATGAATCACAACCAATTGGGTATTTTTAAAGTTATGTTACCAGTCAGTGTCCCTGAAGAAGGGATGTTTCAAGCATTCTTCCACTTTAGGTCTGTTCTTTGGTTCTGCATCAATCATCCACTCAATGAGGTCTTTTGCCAACACGTCTTGAACATGCTCCAAAGTGTAGTTCCCTTTAACAATGTTGTTCTCACATTCATAGGATATGTCTCCAAAAGGATGGTGTCCTCCAGAGAGGACATAATAAATCACCATCCCTGCCACCTTAGGAATAAACATAACATTTAAGCCATTGAGGAAGTATGTGTACACATAGTGACCAATAACATTTGTGTAGCAGAACGACTGACCTGTATGTCAGAGTTTGACTTGTACCCTATCTTAGTGTTGTCCTTTTCTGATAAAGTCTCCTTGGCCATCCAGCAACTTGTTCCTGCTTTGTCTGTGCGACAAGTTGTTTGTCCTTCGGGTAATCGTCTACTGATGCCAAAATCAGCTAATCGTGCCTTCCCCTTTACATCTGAAAGACAATCAGGAAGACAAAATCAGGAACAATACTTTTGACAGAGCTTTAAAATTAAATATTTTTCGGAATTTCTTTTCATTATTTCATTGTATTGTAAACTTATCTTACCGATCAGAACATTCTGTGGTTTGAGGTCCCGGTGGAGAATGGGACGTGCTTGACAATGAAGAACACTTAGACCCTCGAGAACCTGACGGACAAGTTCCTTTCTCCGGCCATCATCATCATGAGTTTCAATGTGTTCTTTCAAAGTGTATTCACACAGTTGAAGAACAAGATATCCAAAGTTTTTGTCTTCTGCAAAGTCAATGTATCTCACAATGAATGGATGATCAAGAGCCGGAAGTCGTAGAAATCCTTCTTCACACTTTAGCAATGGATAGTTGCGTTTATACATTTTCTTAATAGCAACTTCAGTGCCATCATCTTTCAGCCCCAAGAAGACATCAGTGCCATTGCTTCCCTGTGCTATGCAGAATTCTTCTTCATCCACATATATCATGCTCCCAATTCTAGTTTCCTCACTTTCATCTGTAACATTCATCACAAGCTTCTCTAACTTTTCTCTCCACCTCACGCTGCTTTGTTCCCATCTGCGTGGCATTGATTCAGTAGTTTGGACATAGAATGGCTTCACATTTGAAGTGGACTCCAAAACAGGGCCTACTGTTGGATTAGATGAAGCAGTGACTTCCTCATTTGGTTCTTCTTGCTTTTCTGACTGTTCCTTGTTTTTCTTTTTCTTCTTCTTTTTCTTCTTTTTGGATTCAGGTAAGACTGTAGAGTCCTCAGAGTCCATGCTTGGCTTGCTGAGATGATCTTTCAGTTGCTTAAGCACTTCTTTCAGCTTCTCATTTGTATCCATTTCTGCAGACATCAGTATGTCCTCAGGCACTGAAGTTATCCCCACTGATGCAAAGATGCTGGTTGCATGTTTAACTGAAAGTAAGTTTGCGAATGTGCCGTATGTGAAAAGTCTTATGTCAGAAGTGTTTCGGTTCTCTACAAAAGGAGCGATTGTCTTGCATATCTTCTCAACAAAGTTCTGATCCCATCTATTTGTGCCTTTTGTTTTCTGTGTTATCACATATAGTGTGAGCAAAACATTTAGCCATCTATCAGGTCTCTCTTTTGAGCTAAGCTGGTTCAGTAGTTGGGGAATTATATCCAAAGATTGCTCATTTGGTATATCTTCAAGAGTGCAAAAAACTGCATGTAAAGTGACAATTGACATGTCAACATAGTCCTGGGGAATGTTTGGAAAGCGACTGACGGCACCTGCAATGTACGTGTCAAGATTTCCAGTGTCCTTCAGCCATTTGATACTTAGCTGCTTGTATTTTTCTATATGTTGCCCAGCTGCAGTAAAAAGTCTTTCAATCATTGTCAGATGGGTCTGAGGATCCTCCAACAGCATGTGACTGTCAAACGTTTTGAACACTTCTTCAGGAGTTTTTTCTGGCACAGCAATTTCCATATCTAGGAAATATCTGATTTTGGAGCACAATTTATCTCCCCTCGATGCAAGGTCATGAATCATCTTAGATATATTTTCATTGTGACATTTATGTTCAGCCCCAGGAAACAACATTACCGCTGCACCAGCTGAAAGGAGAACTCTGAAGACATCGTCCCTGTCACTGATGGCAGCAGCTTGCACTGGTGTGAATATGCGACTCCATCCATTTGGATTAGCTTTTTCTTTAAGCAGTTCCACTGCAAAAAGGACTTGTGCTTTGGATTGTGATACATAATGCAGAGGTGTTAAGCCTTTAGGGGAAGCCTTGTTTGGGTCAGCACCCCGATGCAAAAGGAATGTAAAAATATCTGCATTGTGATTTACAACAGCAGCTATCAGTGGAGTTATATGGTCATTAACTTCTTTGCATGGGTAACATTCATTAATGTTGGTTTCCTTTACTAATTTTTGTAGCCTCTTGAGGTTGTTGTTAAAAATACTCTCTATTATAGGATGTGTTTTGGTTGGGTGGAGTGTCACTTCCACCTGTGTAATGATATTCATTTCCATGTCAAGGTACCTGTGACAAAAAAGACAAAACTATGATGTTACTGTTCCAATATTTGGTGCCACTTTAAATTGTTGACAAGCATTACTTTTAAAATGTTAGCGTGTGATTATAGAATGCTTTCTAAACCATATTCCGTTTACCAACACTACATTTAGGGAGATACAGATCAAATGACCATTTCTGTGAACATCCTTTTATAGCTTTGGGTCATAGGAACAAGGATATACATATAGTGCTATTAAATAAACATTCATTATAAATTACATCAAATAACCATAAGAATGGATCATGAACAGGAGAAGGGAAACACGAGTGTGCTCGTCTTATGAGACCACACGGATTATTCTAAAGTACAATTTTAAAGCTAAAACGGTATTAGAGGATTGAAGAGAAATTAACTTACGATGTCAACGTGGGGTGTCTGCAGCAGTATGAGTTTTATCAAAACTTAACATGTTGTGCTTTTTCTGTCCTATCCGACTCTGGCACTCTTCCTCTCTGCCTCTCGCTGTCTGTAGGGACTTGCTGGGCGAGATGGGCGGGGTTTCCAACAGTCCCTACCACTCCCTCTATGTCTCTTTAGAAAGATCCGACAGTATGAGGCAGGAAATAGAAACTAAAGTTATTTAAAGTAGGGTTTGCACATTTACAATACAAAGGTTCACAAAGCATTTGCATTTGTTTTGCTATACTTACATACTACCATTATCATAGAGGGCACAGCAGGAACTTTTACAATATATATAAATAAATAAATGCACAAGAAATAGCACTTCAATCTTAAGAATCAAAGCAGGATCGGCTACTTCCAACCTGTCTATTTGTGGGAAGCGAAGAATTCATTTTTTTTTTAAACACATTTGTTTTGTCTTTAAAGAAATGATATCTTAAATGGCAGCCTACATTTCCAAGACAACACTGTGTAAATAACCGGGAACCTACACTTTTTTGGCCACTGCTGGAGTTATAGAAGAACCAGCAACTGTGTCATTGACAGAAAAAACGTTGTTGGTGTAAATAAGCCCTTCTGCCATCTTTCTAATGGATAACAGAAAGACAAACAGGTTCCTATCTGACAATGGTTCAACTTTCAGATTGTATAATTCTGCTGTGGTAGGACTTTTTGCAGTAAGCTGTGCTACTTACACCGTCAAACTAGGCACATAAAATGGGTTTAGGGTTAGGATATGAAGCATTCTGAGTTAGAGGGTTATCAGCTGGACCTATTATGTAACTCTGTGCTGTAGATGTGCACATGTGATGTTAGTGCATAAAGTAATATTCTGTATTTTATGGTCATATCTGTAAGGAAGCTGCCATCTTTACCCCAAACTCTTGATTTGTTCATTTGTAACCCAGTATTGCCGACTGACTGTTGAACTGTAGATTTATGTCACAGTCCTTTTCGTTTTGACAGTGCTCATTTGCATTGTGGTTTAACTGTTAGCAGAGGCTTCCTGTGAAAGCTCACATTGAATTACATTATAGTGGTTTGTAACATAATTTGTCTCATGAGAGCTTTTTCACTGAAAATCCACTAAACCAAAACAGTGAGGTTGCAGCCTTAGAGTGAATACAAAATGTGGATATAGTCACAGATACGTTAACAACTATTTGTTCAGAGTAAAGCATTTTGGATGTCACCATCTATTCCTTTTTGGAACCACAAGAGACACAAACTAATACAACTGAACGTGGAAAATACATTTTAGGCGGGAAACATTTTACCATTAACTAAAAACATACTGTGAAAGGGTTAAGGTTCGAAAACCAAAACACTGGACACACCAAAAGCAAACAACACTGTTGTAGCAACCTGTCAATCACACGTTTACTCCGCCCATAAGCATACGCTGCTTTAGTGTCTATTTTACTAAAAAAAGAACATCATTTTTTAAATACACATCACGCTGTATTGAAAGATACTTGGAACTAGAGATCGATACCATGCACTTGTCAGGAAAATGTAAGGTCAGAAAAGTGATATTTAGAGTAATTTTCTTATAGTCTTTGATAGAATCTGACTTTTTTTGCAAATGCAGGTTTTAAATCACTTTTAAACCCGGAAGTTGCAGCCTATCAAAACAAAGCTAAAAGACACTAAATGCGAGCAACTGCAGTCATTGGATAATTTACTCTGGGTTTGACATAATGACTGAGCCCTTTCATCCTGATGACCAATGAATGATAAAACACACCTTCCAATCTTATTTTTACACATTTATTTTGATACCCAACTGATTATATTTACAGTATACTTTGAGTAACATTCAATATGCTTAAAACAAAATCATACAAAATAACCCGCATGTTATAAAGCTTGCATATTCCAGTATGCTTTTTTAAAATTACAATACCATTCTCTTAATGAGAAGAAGCACTTGTAGACTTCTGAGTTTGTTAGGTTCATTTCAAAATAATTGAGCAAACACCCTTTTTTGAATGTCATGCGCTTGCAAGTTGCAGTAATGTTTTTTTATTAGTTTTTTTAAAAGTAAGTGCAAAGTTCTGTTCAGTTTTTGTGTGACAAACAGGTAGTGGCATTGCAGTCCATGTTGTATGTACATGTTGTAGCTTGTAAGTTAACATTCAGTATTAGTAAGAAGAGAATGACAGACGGAAAAAGCCTCTCAACTAGAGTGAACATATTTACATTAACACATTGTTTCCTTCATTTGTAGACAAACAAATGATGTCTTTTTATTTTGTTCATAAATGTGAGCTATCACTTCTTCAGTGAGGAGCCTTTTAAAGTTTTAGTTGACAAAGAAAAAGTTAAATGATGTCAGTAGTACAACAACTCGGGTTGCTTTTTTTATTTGTATGTAGATTTGTTCCCTGAAACACTTAAAGAGCTTCTATCAGTTTCTACTATAGTTAATCTGGTCTAAAAGTTGATTCCATTCACATGTTAGTCTAAAAAGGCATTAGCTATATCCAGTCCTGAATATTTCTCCACCTCACAAACCACTGGTACCTTATTTACTGTAAGCGATATAATCTATAGCACCTACAGTAACATTCGTCTCGTAACAACTACACTCTAAGGGCTGGGGTCTCACCTAGGATAATTAAAGGTTTGTGCTTTCAAGACATTCCCTGTTTGGAAAAAGGGGTGTGATACTTCATCACGGCCAGAGGGAGGCACTGTGGGCCAATCAGGACACAGAACCCCAGAGCTGATAAGGCAACAATCACCACATGAGGGCATGAGGTAAGTGGCACACGAGGAGCAATCACACCTGTTACATGCCCTTAATGAGAACATAAGAAAATAATATGATACTTCTCTTAGGTCTTGTTGTATATTAGTTAGGGTATAAAACCATTAGGATAGGGGATATTAAACTGAAAATAGATCCAAATGATATGAAAGTATTCCACCTTCAGGAATGTGAGCTGGATTTTTAGGAGAATACCAGCCTCCTTTTACGCTTGTCCACCCTCTTGACTCGCCCTCTCAGTCTCTGAAGTCTGAAAGACCATGGAAACAGATATTTGGACAAGGCCATCAAGCTTGAAAACTATAAGAATTCTAAACACATCTTTACCCAGCTTTTACTTGGGACGGAAACGAATGAAGGGATTGAAATTGAAAAAGTGTGTTTTAGTCCTTTTTTCCCCCTCCACCAAGATGTTGGGGGCCATGACAAGGCCCCTCACAAGCTCAAGTCAATCATGATGTGCTCAAAGATCTGCGTGTTTCCCTTGAAGCTGGAGGTGAAGATGAAGTCCCTGCGGTCGGTGGAAACCACAGTGAAGGAGCGCGGTGCCTGGATGTACACTTCCTTGAAGCGGTCAAAGAGTTTGTTCTCATCATCCCATATGTAGATCTGCGAGAAGGTGTAATCGCTTCCCAGAGCCATGTAGTAACGCTCTTTGAAAAAAAAAGGCTGGAGAATCATGGAGCCTCGTGAGGGCAAGGCCTGGATCTCTGTAAACTGTTTGGTACCCCAACGAAGGATTTTGGAGTCACCGATATAGCGCGTCATAGCCAGGTAGAGTTCCTCCTTGATCCGGAAGTGCTTCACAGCTACAACGTCCTCCATGTGAGGGATCTCTCCCTGCAGGACAAACTTCTGGTTGCTCCGGCTCCACTGGTAGATCACAGGCACCTGCGAGCGGCTCGCCAAGATAAGGTGCGCCTTCCCATCCAAGTCCAGGAACTCTGCGTCTGTGTCGCGGTACCACTCGTGCAGCGAGGAATAAAAGCCCTTATCGTTCCACTTGTAGAGGGTGGACAGGCCTGCTTTTGAACTGTCAGCAATCACAAAGAACCAGTCAGAGCCCACCTGGAACGCCTCAATGTCATTGGGCTTGGAGATCTTGGACACCTCGATGTCCTGAAACCTGCTGAAGCTGCTTTGGTCCTCATCAAACTTGTAGATGTGGGAGCCACCAAACAGCTGAGCCACGATGACAAACACCTGGTCCTGGATGACCACTGACTTGCACCCCACAATGGACTGACCTGAAAGGCGGAGAAATTAAAATAAATGGGCCAATACCAAATTGTAAAAGGTTGTTATTGAAAAACACTTTCAAACTTCCCCAGCTCACTACTGGCTGGACAGGTTTTCTGAAATGCTGTGTTTAAATATGCAAATTAGCCATTCATTTTTATCAAATATGTGCTAATTTAATTTAATTTAAATACATTACTAGTACAGAAACTTGAATACAGTATAATGCCAGGTGGAAAATTCTCTATTTGTAAATTCAAACCTATCAGAGTTAAAGGTTTGTACAGAGGGATTTTAGGATATTTATTTGCATCATTCCATAGATCAGTAAAAACTGTAAACAATGGGAATGAAACTGCTGTAAGTGCTACTGAATCTACAAACACAAAAACACAGTAAGAAAAACTCTTAAATGTGTATTTTTCCTTCTCAAAATTCAGAAAGAAGACAAAATGGCCGACATTTTATAAAGCAAAATGGCCCAAACTCTCAAAATGTATCAACAGCATCCACAGTTAAAACATTTGCCGTACCTGTGATGTTATCATAAGTCCTGAAGTTCATTTCTATGTGGTCGTCACATAGACGTCGTTCTTATAGCTGAATGTGTCCACAGACAGAGACTCAGATGCCAGGGACTTGATGGAGGACGAAATCTGCAGAAAAGGCACATTCTGAATTTAGAAACCCCACACTTTTGCCTTCTCTTTACACTTGTTAGGATGACCTGGTCAAGTGGCCTGATGCCACTTAGAACAGAGACAAGGCCATCTGGCTCAGGTGTTTCTCACCTGTTGAGACGCACTCGTTGTGCAGGCTGGTCATATCATTGAGGCGCTTGTCCTTCATGTCCTCTGGTCCAGCACACACGACATCCGAAACCGTGGCGTTGGTGTTGGTGTTCTTCAGCCACGTCATCAGCCACTTCGCTCGGCAGTCACACTCGAAAGCATTGCCTCGCAGGTCCCTGCAGAAGAGAGGTACTCAGTTTCATTGCAGACGAACAAAGTAGCTAAAACATACATTAGAAGAAATGCATGGGACCCGGGATTCATTTTTGATACGGATTATGAAACTCACAGCTCTATCAGTGAGTCCAAGTCGTTGAAAACGTCCCGAGGTAATGCTTTAATGTTGTTGTTTGCCAAAGACCTGGAAAATACAGACATTGATCAATACAGAAAATGGCACCTATTAAGAAAATCATTACTCCAATGACAGAAAATGGAAAAACATGCATCATATTTATAGACTTAAGGTACAAGTAACACTTTAATGACTGGAAACACTGAA